GGCTGGGATAAGAACAATTTACTGGGAACAGCAACGGGATAAGGAACCAACAGGAACAGCAACAATATTGATAACAGAAGGGATAACCACAAACAAACAATTTACACGGAAAACTGTGATAGCACCAAAGGTCTCCTCCTGACCACGTATTTTCTCCTGCCCAGAAAGGACCTTCTCCCCTCAGGAGAGAGACAGAGTCCCTTTCCCTGTCTCTGGCAATGACCTGAGGTGGGATCAGATATAATGACAGGGGCTTGGCCAGACCCTCATGTTATTCCATCCCGTCTCCCATCAGTGGCAGAGAAAGGGTCAGGTGTTTTGCCAATATGAATCACAGGGAATGGGGGTCACTAGGGCACTTCCAAAACTGGTTCCTGTGATAGGGGATGAAGTTGGAGCACAGGATGAAGGATTTCCACCACTCAGGGCACTCATGGGACTTCCCTTACCGGTGCCTCTTTTGGTGTCGGGCCCGGTTTGAGCGGTCTGAGAAGGTCTTCCCACACTCAGGACACTCGTAGGGCCTCTCCCCAGTGTGGATCCGCTGGTGGTTGACAAGGTGGGAGTTTTGCTTGAAGCCCTTGCCACAGTCGGGGCAGCGGAAGGGCCTCTCGTCCCTGTGAATCCGCTGATGCAGGAAGAGATTGGAGCTGGTCTGAAACCTCTTCCCACACTGGGAACACTCGTAGGGCCTCTCCCCAGTGTGGATTCGCTTGTGGGAGATGAGGTTGGAGCTGTCATTGAAGGTCTTCCCACATTCATCACACTTGTAGGGCCTCTCCCCAGTGTGGGTGCGATGGTGCCTTATCAGGTAGGACTTCGCTCTGAAGCTCTTCCCACATTCCCCACACTTGTAGGGCCGTTCCCCAGTGTGGGTCCGCTGGTGATGGATCAGGCTGCAGCGCCGGCTGAAGCTCTTCCCATACTCCAAGCACTTGTAGGGCTTCTCCCTGCCGTGAAGCTCCTCAAGGACTCCCAGCTCCAAGTCCCGGCTGAAGCTCTGGGTGCCTTCCTGGTGCAGGGTGGGTCTTTCCCCCTTAGAGAACCCTGGGTTTGGCATGCTGCTCATCCTCATGTGGGATCTCTGGAAGTTTTCATCCCCGTTGGATTCCTGTGTTGTGGAGACACTGAAAACAGCCTCCTCCACGAGGTTCTGCAGGGGGTCTGTGTTCTCCCTGCTCTCCATCCTCAGCTCATTTTCTGGGGCAGGAAGTACAAGGAGAGGATGGGATTCACCTCCGTGCCAGAGGGAAGAGGAAGGAAATTCGCTCCAGTCCATCCCCAGCAGGACGGTGTCGGCAGCGGGGTTGTCCTGCAGCCAGGGATCATGCTGCTCTTGGAGGAGAGGAGAAGGGTAAAGGGGAGTGACTTCATCCTCACATGCCTGGTGGTACTGGGACATCTTCCTCTTCGTCACAGCCTCCTCCTCTATCCAGCCAAGGTTTGGGAATGGCAAATCCTGATTTGGAGGGCAAAACAAGGTGTGAGCAGGTTGGTTTGGGGGCTGCTCCTGTCCAAGCCTGTTTCTAGAAGTCACCAGTTGTATCATGAGTGTAAAAGCCTCTAAAACACTGTTCTGGTTTTAACTGTCAGGAGAAATAAA